TGTGTGTGTGTGTGTGTGTGTGTGTGTGTGTGTGTGTGTGTGTGTGTGATGTGTGCCCCTGGTGCAAATAAAATAATTACAAAATAAAATCTGTTTTAGCTATGAGTTTATTTGAAAATGGACTATCAGAAGACCTCAATGAAAGAGTAAAGATTAACCACTTGAGAGGAGATACTACTGGCAACGACATTGATGAACTGCAAAGGCCCCAAGCAGCCATATCGCCAGGCCCAGGTTCTGAGCTGGAGGGTAAGATGGACTCAATATTAGCATGAAGGGCTAAGTTCTGGGAGGGAGCAGAGGAAGGCGCTGGTGTCTGATACAAGAAGAAAACCACTTAGGCACAAAGAAGCAAAGAGAACACTTGATGCACTGTTGAGACCTGGAGGGGGTTGTTGAAAAAGAAACCCCAGAGGGAAAGAGTTGGAAAAGTCTTACCAGGGCAAAGAGAAGCTAAGAAATAAGAGTTAAAGGTTTTGGCTAGGGAGTCCTGAAGCACAAACACCTTCCAGGGTGGGGTGGCCGCATGTGAAGATGGGGCTAGAAGTAGGAACGAGAGATGAGATCAGGGGGAGGGATGAAGGTGGAAACTGGGAAAGACAAGGCTCTTGGGATCTCACCTGTGGCCTTTCCATCTTCAGAGTCCTGTGAACTAGAAGTCCAACTGAGTGACAGAGATGCAGGCCTGGAGCCTCACATCCCATTGCCCTGCAGCAACGAAAGTAACTATTGTTTACCTTCCTGGCTTTGTCAGGTGGTCTGTATGGGTTTGGTAGAACTTTGTTTTGTTTGTTTAAAAAAATTCTTAGTCATTTTCAAAACTGACTATTAAAAAAAATGTTAGGTGTATTTGGGGCTGGGAGTGTAGCTCTGGGGTGGAATGCTTGTCTAGCATTTGTGAGATCCTTGGTTCAATCCTAGCACTGCAGACACACACACACACACACACACACACACACACGCACACATGTACCCATGCACAAGCATCCACACACCCCAACATACACATGATTTCAGAGGCAGCATACAGTTTTAAATATGCAATTGAAATGGCTGTATCAAGGTATGTGTATTACCTCACATACATTTTCATGGGAAGAATATTTAAAATTCATGACCTCAGTGATTTCTTGAGAACTCAATATATTGTTAGTCTTATCATGTTATATAGTGGACATCTTGAACTTATTCTTCATGACGGAAATTTTATGTCCACTATGGCCTCAGCCCCCCTCCTCATTCCCACTTTACTTCACCTGAGTCAGACCCTTTCCCAGGCCACCAAACGTGAAATTGTGTAGCTTTAGCTTTTCTGTGTAACAGAGGGCCAGCTTGTTGAGGTTTCTGTCGTGCCTGGTACTCAACAGCCGGCAAGCCCCAAAGAAAACCACACAGAGATCTCCAAAAGTTACAAAATGATTGATCCGTTAGCTCAGGCTTCTTGTTAATTCTTACAGCTTATATTAACCCATTATTCTTATCTATGTTAGCCACATGACTCGGTACCTTTCTCAGTGGGGCAGCTTACATCTTGCTTCTTCGGAGTCTAGGCAGGAGTGAAGAAATGGCCTTCCTCCTTCCTAGCATTCTCCTGTTCTCATCACCCTGCCTCTACTTCCTGTCTGCTTGACCCACCTATACTTCCTACCTGGCCAATCAGTGTTTATTAAAATAAACAGATTGACAGAATACAGACAATTCTCCTGTACCACTTCCCCTCTTTTTTTTAAAAAAAAAAAAAGGAAAATACCCATAGTCCATTTTTTTGGGAATGTGGGCATAGTATTCCAGGCTACTTCCTGCTGGTTGGGGGCATTGATAACCTTATGGTGACCTAAAGAAAATTTAGAATTATAGTAAAGTCCTCACTGGAGTATTCTGTGAGTCTTGATCATCTCAGGCAGCAGTCTTGAATCCATTCTGGATGTAGAACTCAGACATCCGGGCCATCTGTTCCTATCAGAGATTTCTCAGGTGGTCTTCTTTGATCAAATCTGATTTGTTTTAATTCAGAATGAATCCACAGTCTTTCATTTCCTGTGGAAAACAGCAAAATCTCTTCTCCAAAGTAACATATCTTCTGACTTCAATTTTGAAGTCAAGGTATTTTCAAAATACCTATCTTGGATTAATTCAGCAGCATTTATAAGCAAATATCTTTTAGCAGCTGTTACTCCTTACTCAACATTAAAACAATTCAAAGAAAGCATAATAGCATACAGTATCAAGATTCTCTGTGTATTTTCATCTTTATGTGACTTTATTTTAACCTCTATTTCTTTTACTTGTACTTTTACTTTTTGAGACAGGTCCTCTCTATATCTTTATACAGAGAATAACTCTGTAGACCAGGCTGTCCTTGAACTCACAGAGATCCGTCTGTCTCTGCCTCCCCAGTGCTTGGATTAAATGTGTCCACTCCCACACCTTGAATTCACAGAGGTCTGTCTGCCTCTGCCTCCCAAGCTTTGGGATTAAAGGCATGTGCTACCACACCTTACTACTCTCTTTCTTTCTTTTTTTATTTTTAAAGACTTTAACCTTTAGCCTGCATATATTTTTTTAACACACTGTAAACCATTTAGAGGTTTTCTTTGTCTTTGAATCTCTCTTTTCTGTATCTCTATCTCTTTTTTGACCATATGAGTCTTTAATTTACTAAGCAATATGCTTCATGAATGTTCTTCCTCATCCATGTTGTCTCCACTGATGTGGTCTCCTTCACTTTTAGACGGTCTGGGAGTGTCTCCCATGTGAACACCACATTCTCTCCAGCTGTTGGCAGCTGTTCATGCTGACTCCATAGATGGAGCTTGTCCGGATGTAACAACTGCAAGCATCTCATTAACAGATTGATTTTAATTCTCCGAGTTCTGTGCACAGTAGAGAGGACGGTCTAACCATATTTTCAGTTGTTTTTGAGGAAACTCCATACTGTTTTTATCATAACAGATGTAGGCAATTATACCCCACTCACATATACAGGGCTCCATTTCTCTACATTACCAATACTTCCTCTTGTTTGTCTTTTTGGTGGTAGCCATTCTAACCGGTGTAAGGTGACATCTCTCTGAAATTTCTTGTTCCCTGACCATGGTGCTGGACATCCTTGTTTTCCCATGGTCATCCACAGTCCTATTGAATAGAAGCACTGAGGTTGGGCATCCTTTGGTAAAGAGAGAACTTTTCACCCTTGAGTACTGATGTTTGCTATGAGTTCTTTGTAAATGGCTTTGAATTATAACTGCATATAATTTCTGACTTTCAGATTAGAAAGGTATCTGATCCTGGTCCTTTTAAAAAAATAGTTGAGTTTTAATTATGAATTTAACCTTGTGGCTTGTCTTAAGAAAAGCTGGAGACCTTCTGCCTTCTGCCTGGACATTTATACCTTCCCATAAATTTGGAAAGTTATCTGTTGTATCCTCAAAGTTCTCATTCCCTGTTCCTTTACAAAGGAAATAGGCCTAGCTTTTGAGGTGAGTCATTCAAGAGCCTAGGACTACAGTCTATGGCAGACTTGGAGACTCATATCACAGTTACTGGCTTTGGCCTCATAGGGGCCTGCTTAGTGCTGAGTTCTCTGGGGCAGCACCAGCATTGAGGTCGAAGGTCAAACCTGGTTCTTTGCTTCTCTGTCCTCCCTTAGTTGGAAATTTTCTCTCTCTCTATGCTGTACTGCTGGGGTTAGGGATTATTTAAAGTGGCCAAGCTCTATGTATCTTTTTTTATTTCTTGGACCATCTAGGTGGTTCCCTTAGTCGTTAAGAAGTTAATTTCATGCATACAGATGTTCAGTCTCATGTCGGGGACGGCTGGGTTGGGTATAATTGCAGGATTGCTTTCAAATCAGCTTTTTCCTGTATTAAAAATACATTTTAAAATGTATTCTTTGCTTTTCTAGAATAGTAAACGTGCTCTTTTTTGTTTTCGCCCACATTGTCTACCCCCACCAAGACACAGTCAACTGGTGATTTTAACACCTGTGAGAGGGGAAATTGTTGTTGTTCTCTTTAATAGAGGGGTGCCCCTGGGTGGCAAAAGCAAGGAGAGAGAAAAGGGAAGCACCAACTAGAGAACAATAAATAGCAATCCCGGGCAGGCAAGCAGGGTTTAGAATAGCATGCAGCCCAAACCTTCCCATGCTGGCTGAAGGATGGAATGACTGGTACCTTTCTTCATAGAAGTTCAATGGAACACAGATCCTGTAGGACATTTCCTATCAGCTTTCAAGAAAGGAGGCCCAGTGGAGAGCCCTGCAGATAAAGACTGGACAGTGCTGATGGGAGACCTTCAGTGATGCTTGGGGAGAGACAGACATGGAAGGATGACCTGAGACATCCAGGAGTGGACAAAAGGGTAGACAGCTAGGTGTGGCAAGAAGACTTCCCCAGGTCAGGTGGCTCTCTCCTCTTCACCTCCTTAGTCTTATGCTCAGAGTACACCTCTGCCTCCCCTTGACCCTGAATCTGAATTAAAGTGACTTTTTAAGTAAAGAGGGGGCTGTGAGGTCGCCCTCAATGCTGCTGACCCCAGTTTGAGCTCCAGGGCTCACTTGGTGACAGGAGAGAAGTTACTCCCACAGATGTTCTCTGATTGCCACATGTGTTGTGGTTCACATGTACTAAGTGAGTAAACACATAATCAATCAATCAATGAAACAATATAGAGGGAGAAAAGTATGAAAAATAGGAAAGTAAACAAATAGTGGGAACTAGGCAAGGCACAGAGAGCCTGATAGAGGAAAATTGTCAGAATGGGCTGTGAGAAATGGGGAAACTAGCATGTCACTTCTGCTGATCAGGATAAGTTGTCCCCTCGGTGAAATGACCCTGTAATCCCCTCAGATCATCAGGACCTCACTTATCTTGAGTTTCACTTTAAAAGATCTGCTACTTCGTAAACACACATCTCCGGCCCAGGTCTCCCCGCTTGGTTCATTTTCCCAAGTGCCTAGAGACCTTCCAAAGACCCAACAGACGTCTCTATGTGGAGACTGTTTTGGTATCTTTTGTTCAATAATATAACAGAAGAATGCACACACACACACACACACACACACACACACACACACACACACTAGTGGTTTAGAGCTTCTCTCACCTCATTTGGCCCTGTTTTAATTACAAATTTCACCCTTCTCCAGCCTACCCATGTGTGTATGCCCAGCCTAATCACCCTATGTTGGACCCCATCACACTCACTTAAACTAGAGGAACAGGCTTTTGTCTGACTTTGCCCCTCCCATGTGTTCCCTCCAAATCTCTTATCTTCTGTCAAAGAAAAATCTTCCAAGAATGCATTGGAATGGAGACATGGCTCAGATTATGATGACTGGCTGCACTGGCAGAGGACCCAGGATTGTTTCCTAGCAACCACAACCATCTCTAACTCCAGTTCTGGGGAATATGACACCCTTTTCTGACCCCCTCAGAAACTGCATGCACAAACCACCACACAGAGAAAGCATTCACCTAAATAACACAAAAATAAAATAGGTGCAAACCAGTTCATGTGGCTTTTAGAGCCCAGTGCCTTCTGCAGCCCTCAGCACTCCGCACTGTCAGAGTGACAATGAAGGTTGGCACCTGCGCTCCTGTCCTAATCTCTTGTCTCTTACCCTAGCACCACATCCCACCACACCTACAATCTGTAGGCTCCTGCCTTTGCTATGCCCTGTCTCTGTGGCTTCTGCTGGTTCTGGAAACCCTGTGATTTGGGGAAACAGTTGGATGTAATCTCTGAAGTTTGAAAACACATATCCCAGAGTTCAACAATGACATTCCTCAGCAGAGGAGAGGAGAAATGTGTGTTAATCAGAAGACACAGAAAAGGCTGGGTGTAATACATGCACACAGGAGAAGGAAGAGGAATAGCAGATCAGGAGTTCTAGGTTATCCTTGGCTAAGTAATTTGAGGCAAGCCTTGGCTACAATGCAACCCTGTCTCAAAACAAATGACTCAAAACACAAATAAGAAAGAATTCTCTCAACAGGAATTATCTTAAAAAACAAATAATTAAAGCATAGTAAGTCAGCATATTTCTTTTATTTGTTTGTCTTTTGTTTCTTTTTTTCAAGATAGGGTTTTTCTGTGTATCCCTGACTGGCTGTCCTGGAACTTACTTTGTAAACCAGGCTGAACTCAAATTGAAAGCTCCACCAGCCTCTGCCTCCCAAGCACTGGAATCAAAGGCATGAACCACCACTACCAGCCTAAGTCAGCATATTTCTATAATAACAAAAATAATAATACAGAAGAATCTCACAAACATATTAATATGCATATGTAACTTATATATACACACATGTACATATATCAATCTTGGAGTGTTTGACTTCTTTGAGAACAGAGATAAGTTAACATGGTTATAATTTCTTTTATATTGGTTATATAAGCAGCAAAATTAATTTAGGCCTTGAAACTGAAGATGGTAGTTGACTTTGAGAATTACTGTAGGGACAGTGGAATGTGTCACCTAGAGGCCTCTGGGGTGTCGGTCATCTGCTTTTCTGATCCAAGTGATAGTTTCTCTTTGCAATCATTTAAATACCACTTTTATATATAAATGTTAATCTGCAGTTAAAACTTTAATTTTGTCTTCATTTATTTTTTTTTGAAAGAGGGTCTTGCTATGTAACCCAGGTTGCCCTTGAACTTAACATTCCTCCCGTCTTAGCATTCAAAGTGTAGGGTTTGCAGGTGTGTATGGCCTTGCCTGGTTACTTTTTAATCTTTAAAATATCAAAACCAACGATCTATCCAAGAATTCAGTGGATAGAAGGAAATGGAAGAACAGAGTGGGTGGGGGATTGCAGGGAGAGGGTTAACCATGTATTCAAAATGATGTTCTAGGGAGTTGAATGAAAATTCTTTGAGTGTATATGTGTGTGTTTGTGTGCATACACATGTACTGGTCTGCATGTGCATGTGTGCGCATGTGTGCTGAGGCCAGAGGTCAACCTCTGGTTGTGTTGTGCTTTGTAGCTGGACCTCGCTGACTAGTCTAGACTGCCTGTCTGGCCAGTGATGCCCTGGGACCCACCTGTCTCTATCTCCAGAGTGCTGGGATTGCAAATGGATGCCACGTTAGGTGTCACTTTTTCGTGGATCCTGGGAATCGAACCTACGCTTGCACAGCAAACACTTTGCAGCCTGAACTGACTCCTCAATCCCTAAAAATAACTTCTTCATTGTAATTTGGACCAGGAGCAGAGCTACCCAGCCATGGAATCAAAATTCGTCCTTGTTCTGTGAATCTGGTAAATATAAAGCAAGAAAATTCTTCAATTTTCTTGAGTGGTGAACATCAGACCCACACAAGGACCAATCACAATCAGGCCTCTGCAGTAATAGGTAAGGAGGACGGACAGAATTGCTACAGCTTCCCAGGCAAGAGGCTTAGACAAGTCATCAGGGTTCTTTGGGGGCAGTGCAGGTAGCCAGGTGGAGGCAGGAAGGGAAAGAGGCCCACCAAAGCCAACCTTCACCTTAGCAGAAGGAGGTGGGGAAAATTAAAGACAGAAATGAGAAATGGAAGCTAATAAATGGTGAGGCCAAATTTTCTTTTCTAAATTAAGAGAAGGCAGGTGTATGTGGTAGGGGGAGGGTCGATAGGAGTTAAGAAGAGAGAAAAAAATATCAGGGAACCAAAATATGTATGAGAAGAGATGGGCAGGGAAGCCTACCAAGGACCAAGAGGTCCATCGCTGGGTGCAGATGAAGAACAGGATGATGAACAGAGCCAAGAAGAAAGCTAAGGAGCAAAAAAGGAGTGAAAAAGAGGTAGGTGAGGGTGTGGGAAAGTGAGAACCAGAAAGAGGGTACAGACAAGATGCTTGTCAGTTGCTAGGAGGGACCACCTCTATGACAGCTTGGTCAGTTGTTGGTTCACAGCCTTAAAGGAACAGTATACAGCCTGGAGTTAACTATTCAGGTCTTCTTAGTGTTCACACTCAGGTGTTCCCTACCATGTGTGCCTACTGTCACCCCTAAGGTGTTGCAGGATATTTGATCACACTGGGCAAAGATGTGTCACTGTTTTACTTCACCTGCATAGGGCACCTTCAGATTGATTCAATAAAGAGCAGAATGGCCAATAACTATACGGAAGACAACAGGCAGTACTTCTGGGCTGAGATGAAATCTCAGGAAAGAATCTGAGAGGTGGGGATTTGCCAGCCAGATACAGAGGAAGTTGAAAGTACTGTACTGAGGAAAGGCAATGAGCCATGTGGCGAAATATAGGTTAAACAGGTTAAAGTTTTAAGAGCTAGTTGGGAACAAGCTTAAGCTAAGGACAAGCTTTCATAATTAATAGGAAGTCTCTGTATTATTATTTGGGAACTGGCAGTCCAAAAAATTTCAACTACACTAAGATGCTTAAGGCACTTTTCTTTCTTTCCTTCATGCAGATCTTACCAGAGATGATTCTGAGGATGAAAACAGCTGCTCAGAGGAATCAACCTCAGTCACCTGCCAGTCAAGTAAGGAAGCCCAGAGAGCAAGACAGGCTGTGGGCATCTGCTCTCAAGCTACTGTTTTATGATGGGTTTTGTTCTGAGTCTGTTCTGTATGATGGATCCCTGAAACCTGTTCAGTCCATTGAATTTCATTTGCTTCTTTTGGAAAATGCAGGGAGATCATTGTATACACTTCGGGGGATTAATCTTAACCTATTAGTAGATAGAGTCGTCCATTTTTAACACAATAGAAACAGTCATGTGTATGTGTGTGTGTGTGCATATGTGTGCACATGTACACTTGGGCATATGTTCATGTGTACAAGTACTGGTGTGCATGATCATGGAGGTCAGAAGACAATTCCACGTGCTCATCCTCACCTTCTACTTTGTTTGAGACCTAACCTCTTCTTCATTGACATGTGTGCCAGGCTAGCTGGACCACAGTCTTCCACAGATTCTATCTTGGCTACCTGTCCTGCTGTATGAACCCTAGGATTATAGTTTATTCTACGGTGTCTGATTGCACCATCTTGGGTTAAGGTCCTCATGTTTGTACAACAAGCACTTTAACCACTGAGCCATCACTGCGGCCTCAATGAGTTTGTTTCTTAAACTAATTATCATGTTTACTAAGTGTTAGACTCATCTAATAATTTTTATAGAAAGCAAAAGGCTTCCCAATCCTTTATTGGAAGATCATAGTTCCTCTAAGTAGAAACTTAGACAAGAGTCCAAAAGCAACTCAACCAGCTATGTGGTTAAGTAGACAGAAATAGAGGCTCAAGATAAAACATTCTGAAACCCAAAGTACTGTTCCCAACAAAATTCTTCATCAAGTCATGGCTTTTGGAGCAATTTTTCAAAAGACATTACAAATAACGTGCACGTCTTTCTTTATATCATCCTTAAAGAACAACTAGAACAGACATATACACCCTTTTCTCCTAGTTGAAAAAAACCAGTCACAGATGATATGTGTCTATGTATTCTTCAAAGACTAATGGAGTATTAGACTGTCATCCTGCATACTGAGTAGTTTCTTTCCTAAACTGTGGGATAGGAAGGTTTCTGGGTGTGATGTCATGAACCTGTAAGCCACTCTGGAGGTGGAGCCAGGAGGATCAGGGGCTCAAGGTAATTCTCGATTGCACAAGATTCTCTCATGCACACACAAACACAGAAACACACACATGTAGAAAGAGGAGAGAGAGAGAGAGAGAGAGAGAGAGAGAGAGAGAGAGAGAGAGAGAGAGAGACTAGAAAGGCTTGATTATCTCAGCCCTATTTGGGTTGTTGAAAGATTAAGATTCTATAGTGTGCCCCTTGGTGATTCCTTTCCTAGATCCAGAAGACTTTAGGCATGTGCTTCCTCAGGGAAAACACACTAGGACAAAACCTGAGGTCAAATGAAAACGCTTCTCGGTCTTAAGATTACAAAAGAGCAAACTTTGAAACAGTGCCTTCATTTTAGTTGCTCACGTGTCTTTTGTTTGTTTGTTTGTTTTTTTGTTTATGGTGTTTTTTTGTTTTTTGGTTTTGGTTTTTTGTTTTTTTGAGACAAGGTTTCTTTGTAGGTTTGGAGCCTGATGTAGGAGGGTCATCTTTCTATGTGTTACTTTCATTGGTTAATAAAGAAACTGCCTTGGCTTTTGATTGGACAGCAGCTTAGATAGGTGGAGTAGACAGAAAAGGATGCTGGGAGAAAGAAGCAGAGTCAGGCAGACGCCATGGAGCCAGCTGCCAGGTCAGACTTGCTGAATCTTTCCCAGTAAGCCACCACCTCATAGTGCTACACACATTATTAGAAATGGGTTAATCAATATGTACGAGTTAGCCAATAAGAGACTAGATATAATGGGCCACGCAGTGTTTAAATGAATACAGTTTCCGTGTAATTATTTCGGGCATAAGCTAGCCAGGCGGCCAGGAGCCGGGCGGGATGAAATGCAGCCCATTGCTCCTTTTACAGGAACCTGTCCTGGAACTAGCCTTATAGACCAGGCTGGCTTCGAACTCATAGAGATCTGCCTGCCTTTACCTCCCCAAGTACTGGGATAAAAGGTGTGTGTTACCACCGCCTGGCTTTCATGTATCTTTTAAAAGTAGAAATATGTTTTAGGTTTTAGACTACAAATACACTCTGTGTCTATGGTTTAAAAGCAAAAATATTATTTTTCATAGAAATGTGGGAAGTATCAGATCAATGGCAATTGTTCAACATAAGATTTTCAAGGTCTCTTTGTGGTGTGTGTGTGTGTGTGTGTGTGTGTGTGTGTGTGTGTGTTTGTGTGTGTGTGTGTGTGTGTGTGTTTGTGTGTGTGTGTGTATTCACATGTGTGTATACTTGTAGAGGCCAGAGGTCAGTATCAGGTGCTACTCTTAAAGAGACATTCACCTTGTTTTTTGAGAGAGGGTCTCTCATGGTGGGGGGCGTTAGAACTTACAAATTTAGCTACGTTGTCTAGCCAATGAGTCTCTCTAGCTCTGGGATTGCTTGTGTGATTCACCATGGAATGTAGAAATCCAACTCATGTCTTCATGCTTGTTGTCAAGAACCTTACCAACTGAACTATCTCTTTGGGCTCTTCAACATAAGACTTTCCAAGTTTCCCTACAAGAAACACAAGAGATAATGGGAATTCAAAAAGATGAGTGGGGGTGGGGAGGGGGTGAGTAGGAAGTCAAGTCTTTGGAAGAAAAAGGCCAAGTGATTTCAGATGGCCCCTTGACAGTGAATTGCATCTGCCTACACATCAAAATGGAGTTTCACTAACCTACTGTTATGGTAATTTAGAAAGGCAGACCCATGTGCATGGATGGAGGCCAGGCTTTTTAAGCAGATTCAGGGTAATTCTAAAATTTCTTATTAGGGAATTTCCTACTAAATTGATTTCTTGTTCACAACCAGAGGATTCCAGATACTTCTACTATTTGGTACAGTGATCAATATTCATGACTTAGAATCAAATGAGGGAAAGGGGGAGTGTGAAGTCACAAGCTCAAGACACTAGATTGTACCAGAAGTTGGCTAGAATTGCAACTTCTGAACTATGGGATGTCCAAATTGAACTGTAATGGCTCGAATTGTAATCCAAGCATTCTCCATAAACTTTGATTCTACAACTCTAGGGTACCACTTTTTGCATTCTTCTTCTCTGGTCTTATCAGAAAATCCAAACTCACCAGAGAATGATTTATCTGGACAATGTCAGCAGAGAGATAAAATGAAATATAGCAAAATAAATAAACAAACAAACAAAGTAGTAAAAGGGCACTCTCTTTACTCCATGAGATTGTACCTATTAATACTAAAGAGTGGAAATAGTTCATTTAGTTTCTGCAGTGGCTTTATAGTTTATAGAGTATAATAAGAATAGAATTCTTCTGTTTATTGATAACACTGTCATTTGTCATTAGCTTAGAAAGTCTACAAACAATAATTTGTGCTATTTACATATCAAGCAGATAAATTTTTTTTTTTTTGGTTTTTCGAGACAGGGTTTCTCTGTGGCTTTGGAGCCTGTCCTGGAACTAGCTCTTGTAGACCAGGCTGGCCTCGAACTCACAAAGATCCGCCTGCCTCTGCCTCCCGAGTGCTGGAATTAAAGGCGTGCGCCACCACCGCCCCGGCTCAAGCAGATAAATTTGACCTAAGGGTGTTCTCTAAGGTTTCTGGTCTGCCTGGTCCTGCAGTCATCAGTCCCAAAGAATCACACAGAGATCTACATCAATTATAAACTGATTGGCTTTTCTTATTAACTAATTTTTATAACTTATATTAGCCCATAATTCTTGTCTGAATTAGCCCCGTGGCTTGGAACCTTTTTTGGCGAGGCAGTCACATCTTGCTTCCTCTGAGGCAGGGATGTACTTAAACTTCCCTCTTTCCAGAGTTCTCTTGTTCTCATTGTCCCACCTCTACTTCCTGCCTGGCTGCCCTGACTCTACTTCCTGTCTGGCTAATGGTCAATCAGCATTTTATTAATGATTGTACAAGTGATAGGGTACAGACCATTGTCCCACAGCATAAGGGCTGCAGAGCTGGCTCAGCAGTTAAAAGCACTTACTGCTTCTGCAGAGAATTCGGGTTTGGTTCCCAGCACCGAAACTCTCTCTGCAGGGCTGGCATCTTCTTCTGATCTCCAAGGGCACTAGGCATGCATGTGATGCACAGACAAGCAAACAATCATGTGCAAAATAAAATGTTTTAATCTTTTATTAAATATCAATTTATTCTTGATTGCCAAGATTTATAACAAATTATTTAAAAGTAAAGGCCAATTTTTAGTCCCCATTTAGTTACTTGTTCCATTTCACTCTATGCATACTAAAGTCAAATATGTGAAAATACCTGTTAATGCTCAACATTAATATATCTGATTTATGATGCAGAAATTAAACACTCAGTTGGTACATCAATTGTCACTCTTGTCAAAGCAGCTTATTTTCATAATTCAGAAATAGGTTATTAGGACAGCCAAAAGACAAAATTTAAATTCAGATATGAAAGACTCTAAATGCATTTCTGAGGCCTCTCAGCTCTAAAGATATTTTCTGAAGCCTCTTAGCATTTGGAAATGGGACAGTCACCCCCCCCACCAACACACACACACACACACACACACACACACACACACATATGCTGGACTGCTCATCCTCCTGTGTCCCTGTGAATAATCTTCAAACATAACTCCATTCTGGGAATTGAGGCAAAGACAGCCCACAGATGTTGACTCAGTTCCTGATGTATTGATTTAGTCACTAAAACAAGGTCAGGATGGACCACAGATGCTCCCCTTATCTCACCTGACCACGCAGCTATTCTCCTGGCCTGGAATAGATCAATCACTGCTTATAATAAGCCAATCCAATAAGTTGGAAAACAACCTATGGCCCCCCCTTGTGTCTGTGGTTTTTTGCTTTAAAAGATGGACTGTAACAGCTATCGGATGTCCTTCATAGCCCGAACCTGGAGGGCCCTGTCATGACAGAATAAAAATCCTCTTGCTTTTGCATCAATT